TCTTGTCCTTGTAGCACCTTTACGCCATTGCTATGTAAGGGAGTGGCACCTTCAAATGTCTGAAAGGGAGAGTGCAATTTTGCTACTGTGAAAGAGGCAGCAACAACATACGGTTTGTAGGCTTTAATTACTGTATCAATACATACTGTGGTACGTCTCACTTTTAACATGCAGAAACCTCCCATCTTATAAATTTGTAAGGCTGATTTTGAGGTGAAAAACGTGCTTAAATTTCTTTTGGCCTTTGTGATATACATAAAAAGTGGAAAAACACTTATATACTAGCATGGCTTTACATATGTATTTTAATATCACAACATAATAATGTGCCACATTCTTATTTCTTTGAGCTGAATTCCTAGTGAACGCAGAATTTTTAAATATCAAAAAACAGTAGCAGTGTTCTGTTAGCTTGGTGCTATGCTTTTTTTTTTTTTTAAATGGTAAATGCAGAAATAGATAGTTACTCCTAACAGACACAATATGGAAGTATGGTCAGTTATCTGGCTCACAAATTCTGCTCAAGTTCCCGATCCTGAACTTTGGTTGCACAAGAGCACTGCGAGCAGACATGATTTTGTTGCCACTGAATATATGTGTGTGCGTATATATAAGTGTGTGTGTGCGCAGATGCACGTGCGTGCATGTGTGTGTATAAACTAGGGAATTAGAGATCGCTGTGATGGGAGAGTTACCAAGACCAACCAGAAGGAACACCTTGTGGTGGTTGTGGGTACTTGTTTTTACCACTGCTTTGTTTATGATGGGCTAAGCCGAATACTTCTGATTCATAGTAATCGACTGTGTTCTCAGAGTAATGTACAAATTCTTCGGGAGGCCCAGAGTCCTAATTCATTCCATATATTCCCTTCCCAGTCTGGGCTACTGACATCAAGTGCTGCTAATATGCCTTTATAAGTCATTGTGTGTGCATGCAGCACTTCCTTGCGGTACATGCTGTCTAACAGCATATGAGACATTACTACGTTGTGATTTAATGACCCACAAAATTCTTCTGTCCAAGGACTGGGACCCCACTGTGTTACCTGTTCACCCAATTTCAGTTCCATTTAATCTGGTATTCTGTTCCTTAAGGACATTGGATCAGAGAAGGCTTACAAATTTTTAACACTGTATTGATAATGAAGTGCACAAAATCAACCTTATATATCTCCAAGAGGCTAGTTCAGTCTTCCAGCACTCCTAGGCAAAATCATATTCATTCATTCCACTGCCCACCTTCTCCACTAATCAGTTGCACACAGTTGATGTGTGTGTATGCATCAGTTGCACTTTTTTTTCCCCTGAACTGTAGCACACTAGCAATTGACAGCCAGTTTGTTGCTAATGATCATTCCCCAGTCTTCTTTCAAAGTTCTTTTTTTTACAAGATTTTTCCTTTCTGTTGAACAGGTTTGTTTGTATATCAACTTACTCTATTCAAGATCACTCATTCTCATTTTGTAATTTTCTGCTCGTGGTTTGTGGTCTCTTTACAAAGAACAACAACGGCAACAGAAATGGCAACTAAGAAGTAGTGACTAATTTTATACTTCATAATACATGATCCAAGGCATTTCTTTCAATTTATCTTTTTCCCATTATAATGTAAAATCTGTAAGTTCACTCATTTAGTTTTCCTGTACATTTGGTACATAGTTTGTCCTTGCTTTTTGAAACCACCATGATTTTCCAGTAGTTTAGGAATTTAAAACCTGCAAAAGTTAATAACTCTTTCACTATCGAAGAGTTGCACAATACAGAACTGAGTTCACAAGCCTCTTGGGATGTAGGCAAAGGCAAATTGTGATTTTTTTTGGCAAAAGGATTCTGTACAAGGTAGTAGTTCAGAAATCACTTTTTAATGAAGATAATGGAACACACTGTAATACAGCTAGATAATAAAAAAGAAACAGTATGCGTGTTACAGTTATTCAAGGAAAACTTTGCAAGTTTTGCAAACTTTTCCAGTGCAGATGAAATTTTTTTTTGTTTTGAAGATGGACTCTAATTGGGCAGTTTAATAAGGATGGATTTAAAAAAACCCTAAAGTTAACCTGGAAGGAAAAGTTTCATTTTCTGAGTACTTTCACCTCTTCCCCCCCCCCCCCCCGGCTAAAAAAAAGCCCCCCCCCCCCAGTGTATCCTTTTAAAATTAGGTCAGAACTGAAACCAAAATGCCACTTTGCATCTATATTCAGACACTTGCCAAAATGTAAGAATGCAATGTTTAAATATCTTTGATCTCTCCTTCCCTACTAAAAATCCCCCAACAACCCGCAAATTCAACCCGACTTGCCAGTAGTCTTATCTGACAGTGCATCCACTTTCACATCTACCTAAATCACCCTTACATGGCCCCAGAGAAGGCAAATGTTTCTCTGATAATGGCTAGCATAGTAGGATAGGATTCTTTTCATTTTGCCAGCTTTCAAGTAAAAGAAGCAAGTGCACAGAAATCATGAACTTTTCTGATTTTGCCAGAACTCTTGTTGTGCTGGCAGAGTTGTGACTGGTAGAAGAAACTAATCCCTGTAACTTTGAGACTGATGCTTTCAGAAGCATTGTCCTTTGCTCGTGACAGACAGTAGGCTGAGCCTGCCATGATGTAATCCCAGGAAGTTCGTTAGCATTTCCCATACAATTCAACACTCATTATACTGAAAGCAGAAATCAAATGATAGCATACTATATAAAACCATTGTTGGTGTTTGGAAAGTCTATCTTTGTTGCTGTGGATGATTTAATCCTCTGCTATGCTTTGTCTGTATTTCATTAAAAACTCCTCTGGAATTTCATTGTTTCTTGTTCAGATACAACTGGAACCTCTGAAACAAGTTTGTGGTTGCTTTTGTGTCTTTGGAAGAAAAGACAAATAATAAATAAATAAACAAACAAATAAATAAGTAAGGCTAGAGATGACTGTCAAAGTAGTTACCATAATGTCATTGCTTAGACCAAGGTGAGAATTATATTGGGCTAGGTGGAAGAGTAATGTGGCTCCGATTTTTAAAGTACCAATTCTGTGTAATTCCAGTGCGTACCTCCCCCAAGGAACAACATCCCTCCTCTTTCATACACTACCGAAGATTCACCCTATTTAAATTGCCAAAAGTAGTGTCTGAAGGATATGTAGCACTCCTTCTAGTTGAGCAAGATTTGATGAAATTAGAAAATACTGAAGGTTTGCTGTTATCCCTGTGCAACAATCAATTTCTCTTTTCTAGTATGATGGTCTAAATTCTAGGAGCAAAAGGAGAAACTGGGCAAATGTCACTGGTTTGAAAACACTGATAATGAAGGGTCTAGAAAGAAGGTTGTTTTCTGAGTACAAAAAAGATCAAGGAGTAAATTCTGAATGAGCAGGGAACTTGGGATTTAATGGTAAATTCTGGACCTTACATTGGCTTTTTTTTTTTTCTCAGAGAAATATATCACCCGAATATTAATAGATACATATGCGACTACCTAGCAACCCTCACCACTAACTGAGAGAGAAAAGCATAAACCCATTTACTGGGCACCTTGGTATTTTGATTTCCTGCAGTTTTTATTCTAAGTACTGTGATGCTATTATCTGAGAAACTTTTCTTTCACTTCTAGGATAGAAAGGTGGCTGTGGAAATCTTGAAAATATAGCCCCTACTTGTTTTTCTGTTTGTTTGTTAAAGGAGAAAGAAATCTAAAAGCACATAGCGTTCAATGATTAGGATTTTTGTATATTTCTATTGGCTTTGCTCCTTTTTAAGATTCTTCACTCTCTCTCACTATGCAAGTATGGTCCTAGCAGTGAACACCAAGCGCAGCTCCTTTTCTGGATGATTGTCAGAGTTGGGTGCAGAGGCAGAAGTTTTCAAAGACCTACAAGATGTAGGACTGCTTCTTCCCCTGCTTATATAAAACATATGACTTGTCACAGAGTTGTATTTACCATGACATCCAGAACAGTACACAGTAGATGACAGACTTTCATGATTCAATAATTGTTTAATAAGCCTTCCTTAGTTAAAATTTATCTGTTAAAAATTTGTTACTGCTCTACAAAGGACTGTATCCTCTATTGCTGTCCAAATATACAGACCTGCTGAGTGCTATGGACTTTATTAAACTATCTCAAAGTTTTTTTCATAAATGATAAGCTTTTGGTAAAATATGAAAATTACCTACAGATTTGCAAAATATACAAGAGTTTAGAAGGGTTGATGACTTCATTCTAATTTTTTCATTAGTTTTTGATGTACAATGGTGAGTTCAGAGTAGCAGTTCTGTAAGCTGCTCCCCAGTGTGAGAAGTCTATGCAGTTGTAATAGTAGTGTTTTAAACCAGCTGGTTTTGTCTGTGGGAATCTGGTGTGTGAAAAAATTGGCAAATACAGGTGGTGTCCTTTGTCCATGCATTTTTAGGTATACAAAAAACATTAATTGCTGCAGTTATCTACCGTTTGTTGAGTATCCATTTTTTTTTGTAGAAGGGAGGAAGAAAAAGTGGTATGCGTATGAGTGTTCTCTGTGAAGTGTAGAAAACAATGCTTATGTGATTTAAAGGGAAGTGGGAAAATTTAGCAGTGTCTCTGGCCCCTCTGATAGACACAGTTAATTGATGATTTAGCTCAGATTCAATAGGCTGTATTTTCAGTGACGGACATGGCTATCATACTGGGTTCTGTTTCAACAATCTCTGCAATGATGAACCTCTTAGAAAGGCACGGAGCCAAAAGTATTTTTTTAAGTGTCTTGTTAGCACTGGCTAACAGAATGAATAATACACAGAATATATGAAATCATAACAACCTTTTAAAACAAAGGACTAAAACCTCAAAGAAGTAATTTACTGGCCACATAACATTTTGTAGAGATTTCTTTTAAAAATTTAATAGCTTTTGTAGTGAGTTTATTTATGTGTGGTAGAAAGATTCCAAGAATGGGGAGCAAACGGATATATCTTTAAAATTCTATTCACCTCTTTGGCACAAGAGGCACATAAGCATTCTCTAGGCAAATTCATGCATGCCTAAAAGTGGGAATATGTTCAAAGATATGTGGAAAGTTATAGTGTCCTGCAATGCGTTCCTTAGACGATACATCAAATTTACCTATTGCTATCATGAGCACACCTGTTCTGAAACAGAACACTTTTAATCAACTCAACAAATAAATTGCTTTGACCAAAAAGTCCTGTTCCTAATCATTCAATCAATCAATCATATATTTGCATGTCCTGATAGCACAATTCCATCTTAGCTTCATAGTCTTCCACCAGGACACAAGGACTATTCAGACTTCATGTTTTTTGTAGAAGATAGTAGCAGGAAAAATATCATGTTTGATTTCTTTGTCATTGAGAAAAATTATTAAAAAGGTCATAACACTTGCTGTTTCTTTAGCAGGTTCATTTGTGTTTTCAGTTCAATTGAGTCTTACCTCTCCTTTCTGCACAAGAAAGTTAGACGTGCCAGGACTGCAAGACCGACTATTCCAAATACACAGCCAAGAAGAATTATTTGTTTGATATCTGAAAAACAGAGACCAGCCACAACAGAACAGGAAGATATTGATACATTTCTTCATATCTATTTGAACGTAGTCACGTGACAATTTTTAAAACTGTACATATACTGTTAATTTTACTGTTCTTTGTGGAACAAACTGATAAAGAGTAGGAACTCACATAATTCCTACATTTGACAGTTAGGGCAGCTGTCCGCAAAAGCTGTTCTAACACAAAGAAAGGATGGCTAGTGGTTAATATGTAGTCAACATCATGAATGTGTTATATTTATGCAGAACTGCAAATCCCAACAACTGACAATTTTTCAATCCTTTTTCCATCGGGTTTGATTGCTTTAAAAATTGCCCCTATTTTGGGATTAAAATTTTGAAACTGCCTCTGCTGCTTAATGCTCTATTTAAAAGAGAGCAAAAGTGACTGTTCTGATGTGGTTATGGGGAACTGTGTCAGACAGTATGAACACACTAAAAGTGTCAATTTAATTCTGCAACTGCATAATAAGGACACACAAAAAGACAGAAAGAAACCAGATATGAAACAAATTTTGGATAACAAATCTCCTCTTGTTTTCTTATTCTGCTGAACAGTTGTGGGTTACCAGTTCTGTCACTTTGCTACTGATGTAGGACAGGGCTAGCCAGTTGCTGTACAGCTGTGGTGAGCAACAAAATCTAAAGATATCACATAGGTAAATTTTCAATGACACATAAGAGGAGTGGTAAAAGTTTAGGAGATGCAATATCTAGAGTCAATCATCTGGGACAAAAAATGCTTACTGAATACTGTGTCTTTTAAGGAAAATGCATGCTGGAGTACCACTGCTGAAAAACTGCAAGTCCTAGTGTAAGCAATCTTTGTCGCAGGTTCAGTGTCAGAGAGTCAAACAGAAGTGTATTTCCTCACAGTTGAGACACTGTGGTATCTTAATGTCAAAGTAGATTCAATGCTCTGCCCTTTTTCAGCACCTAGTGAGAGCACTATAGCCTACTTAGAGACAGGTGAATAGTGGTGCATCTGAGCTTTAATGCATCTGGGCTGTGTTTTTGCCAGCCCTTCCTTCCATCGCTTTGTCATGCCTGCAGGAAGAACTGCCCAAACTACAGCCTAGCACACAGTGATGGCAGGGTGATATAGCAGACACTTCCGTGATCCTAGAATGGATAATTTCATTTCTAATTTGGTTCATGCTGAAGTTTAAGAAAAGAAGTTGGATACACAGACTGTTTCACAGGCATTGGTCCTTCATCCAGGAACTTCTGTACAAGGCTCAAAACCTTCTCTTTGGCTTATACACATCTTATAAGCAGGTACCCCGTGTCTGCCAAGTGATGAGAACCTACCATTGGCCTCGTTAGTTTGGTCCAATGATTATTTGCCTCTATTGTGAAATCTTTTGTATTTATTTTATAATCTCAGGTTATATATCTTGATTTTAACGTGGTTTGCTGGAAATTATAGAGACGGACAACAGTTCCATTATAAGAAGACCTAATGTTTTTTGGCATCCTCAACTGAAAAAAAGTGCAGATGACTAATGAGATTTCTGACAACTTTCCAAAACAAACTGTATTTACACGGAGCCTGAGCCTGGAAAATGGAATCTAAAAGTAAGAAGAGGAGGGGGGAAAAAAGAAAATAAAAGAAAAAACTAAAGACAGACAAAACCAGCTTGCATTTAACAACACCAAATTATTGTCCGTCACAAACAGACTATAAGTATATATATTGCTAAGATTTTATAATTTTTAGCTGTGTTTTACTTCTGATTTTACTAGATTCTCCTCTTTTGCTTTTGCTGGATGGTTTCTTTTTCTTCCTCTGTGATATTCTGTGAAGGGAGGTTGCTCTGGTACTGGCAAGACTTGCAGTGGGATTGTAATTAGCAGCATAGCAAAATAATTATTAGCAGAGGATTTCCATGGAAACTTTAATTCAAGGAAGCAAAACTCAAAGGCAACAATACGCAGGCCCAACAGCATAGTTGGCATTTGAAATTTCAAATACAGAAATGGATTTTGCAAAACAACTGGCGTTCAATTTTCTTGTTTCCGTCTCTCTTCCTATCCAGTTTTCATAATCCTCATGCCTTTATTTGAACCGTTCTAGCTTTTGAAAAACAGAAGCATATAGCAACTAAAAACCCTTGGTGATTTGCAATACAGAGCTTGAATCTGATGTGCTACAAAACTGCAGCAAGTGTAATCAGCACAGCACTATAAAGAAGTATTCCTAGAAGCTGAGAATGATAGAGGGCTGGGCCCTGTGTTCTTGACCAGCATGAAAGGAATAATTTGAAAAAGTGTGTTTTAATAGTTCATGCTAGAAGTAAAAATGTGACCACTAATCACAGTGGATAGGTCAGTGGTCACCCATTCAGGTGCCCAGAAATTTGGAAGGGCTGTCCATTAATTTTGTCAGCATTTTTGTGGCATCAAGAAGGCCCTCTGTCACAGGACTTGATAAAATGGGTGTTGGTGAAACAGCAGCACTCTGCTGTGTGAAGAGGAAAACAGTGAAGAAAACTGATCTCTCTCACTAACAACAGATTTAGACAACATGAAGACCTTTTCTGTACTTACACTGAATTCAGAATCAACGTAAGGAAAACTGGCACTGGATTCCAGTGGTGTCTTAAACTGGAGATGGAAATGTGTTTAGTGAAAAGCAAGTACTAGCTGTCCATGCTATAACAATGCTAGGGTTTTAGATATAAATGGGAGGAACTTTGGACTGTTTTGCCTGTCTTCTCTGGAGACACTTGGACCTGTCGATAAAACAACCTTCTCAGACAGACACTGATGTCCAGCAGCATATCTTATGATGCAAAACGAGGAACAAGCCTAGATATGAATGCCATGATTAGGGAACAGCAGTAAAAAAAATGAATGAAGAACTCGCTATGCAATTTGTATTTTATATTGTCTCGATCAGTTGTCAGTATTGTCAGCGTCCTGCTGCTATGGGCAGCATTGCCATACTCCAGCTTCCCGAGGCTGACAAAAATCATCATTTGTGGCTCACATTGCAAATGAACTACAACGCCAAACATCAAATAGTAAGGAAGGTCTTTGTTGCAATCAGATCAACAAAATTCTTCCACACCTTGTTGTTCTTTGTCGTCTTTCAGGATACCATGTCCTGGAAAACATTGCGGTTTTTGTTTGATATCCATAGAGCTGTGGCACATCTCCATCATTCTGAATGAAGTTAATCTCTGCGTATCTTCCAGCTCCTTCCCTCCAGTCTCTCACAGATGACTTTTTTGCCCCCTTTTCTCTAGTGTAAACGTCAGCATCCAGTTTGCTTAGTGAGACTGACTGGCTCCTATACATTACGTATGCGGTTGATGGCAGCAATGGAAAAATGTTCTTAGCTTTCAGCTGGGCAAAATGTTTTGCCACTGACTTTTTAAGATCTGGCCTTACTTTCTAAAGATTTCATGCTTCTAAGACTTTTGACAGACAATCTGTTATTACTGTGAACTACGAAGCATGCAAAATTATCTGCTAAACTTTTTAATCTCTCATATTTTCAGCAGTTAACTAAAGTACTCTGTATGCTCTGGCCTGTCACGTTAAACAGAAATGTTTTGAAATATCTCTAGTTTCACTCTTTTCGAAATAGTATCACTACTGAGACTGGCCCCTGTGAACACAATCAGTTGCATATCAATTACTAACAACGCCTGGTCCAAGAAAACACTCCATAAATGTCCACTCATCTATTTAAAATTGAGCAATGTTTCCTGTTTTGTATGTGCAAATGTTCAATAAATAATTTTTATGCTGAAGTCCACAGTCTGCTGCCCAAACTCACTGTGGTTCATCTCACAAATATCACCAAACATGCAGAACCATGTTGGAAATGAATGAGCAATTGGTGCAGGCCTGCAGAGGCTGATGAAAGGTGTCAGCTGGCCAAGAATTCACTACTGATGTGTTATACACTTTCCACATTGCTTTGGAAGGTGCTCAGAATGGAGAATCGGTTGATATGAATTATTTAAAGAGTACTTTTGGGAACAATTAACTCAGCATTAAAAGTACTTCAACATGCAATGTGGCCTTGCATCACCCTGGTACTTTGAAACATTGCCATCTTGAGGACATCTGAAGTGTAAATGGGCATAGGAATAAAACAAAGTTGAAACTGTTAGGAAATACTGGGAAGTTTCCTGTAAGTTGTAGATACAGCCTAACTGCTACTATATCCAACAATCCCAGGCTAATTGAAAATCTAATAGTAGTGCACAAAAGGGGTAATAAATTTTGTTATTTATACTAAATGCTATTACAGCATTAACAAGAATTTTACTGGCATGCAATAATACCTTATGTTTTGAGATAACATAATCCCTTAGAACAAAAGAGTGGAAGCCTCCAACAAATGTGGGCTGTGTCCGCTCTCGAATCACAGAATTGTAGAATGGTTGAGGTAGGAAGTGACCTCTAGAGGTCATCTTGTCCAACTCCCCTGCTCAAGCAGGGCTACTCTGTCAGTTGCTCAGGTCCATGTCCTGTTGGCTTTTGAATATCTCCAGGGAGGGCAACTCCACAGCCTCTCCGGGCAACCTGTGCCAGTGCGGTATCACACTCACAGTAAAAAGGTGTTTCCTGATGTTTAGAGGCAACCACCTGTGTTTCAGTCAGTGCCCATTGCCTCTGGTCCTATCCCTGGGCACCACTTAAAACAGCCTGGCTCCATCCTCTTTGCACCCTCCTTTCAGGTACTGTATTTGTATACATCGATAAGATCCTCCCCCACCCTGTACCCCAAGCCTTCTCTTCTCTAGGCTGAACAGCTCCCAGCTCTCTCAGCCTTTGCTTATAGGAGAGATGCATCAGTCCCCTAATCATCTTTGTGGCCCTTCACTGGACTCTCTCCAGCACGTCCATGTCTCTCTTGTGCTAAGGAACACAGCACTGGACACAGTACTGCAGGTGTGGCCTCACTAGTGCTGAGCAGAAGGGAAGGATCACCTCCCGCAACCTGCCGGAAATACTTTGCCTCGTGCAGACTGGGACACCATGAACCTTCTTTGCCACAAAGGCACACTGTTGGCCCATGTTCAGCTAGGCGTCCACAGGGCCCTCAGGTCCTTTCCTGCAAAGTTTCTCTTAAGGCACCCCTTTTATAGTGTGTGACTTCATAACTCAGCCCTCAGATGGCTTAGACTGGATATACGTTTGCCCCCATTAATTGCAAGGGAAGTTAAAACTGTATTAGTGATGACAGAACAAAGGATGACAATAAATGATTGGGGGTTGTGCCATCATTTGTACTTGAAAAATTGCTCAAATTATGTGGAAATGAAAGGTTTTAAATAATCTCTAGTTCTCTATGTGTATGCGTGTATGCTTAGATTGCGTATCTCTAAAGCTGCTAAAAGAACATTACATTTACATAAGAAAATTACATGAAAATAAGGCTGTAAATAGGATTCTCTCTGTAGCCTTTGTATTTTTGTATTACGGAATCATTTTTACCTAAGTACTATGCTTTCCTGTTTTTCTGAGGCTGAGTTTGAAATTTATTTTAGGTCATCCACTCAAGAAGCATGACTACCAGTTCCTTTCAGCCAAACCTAGAGAAAGGGAAGTATGTAGCTCTAAACCCTTAGAAAGAGTAGATGCATGAAATAATAAAAAAACCCTCAACACCATAAAACACCTGTTATTTAGATCTGAATGTTAATCTTTCCAGAAACTCATGTCCAATGTCTTCCCAAGTAAGAGAAGTTGCTTTTGTCAAGGGCCATCATCGTATATTGAGATTGCCTTGTTCGTGAGAATGATATTTAATGTCAATTTGTAACATTTAAAAGGAAACAGACCTGTTGTCAGGATGCAACTGGGTGTATCTCCAGACCAGGCCCCCGTCACCTGGCAAATTCTTTCCTTTGAACCAGTGAGTTCATAGCCCTGATTGCAGATGAAACTGATGGTTGATCCCAGTAGGTAGTTAGTTCCATTCTTTCTTCCATTGGTTGGATGATCCAGCCAGCCACAAGAGATCACTAGTAAAAAACACAGATCTGGTTAACATATTTTGGATTTGGACTAGCAAATCTCCATCATAATGATTCCAATGGCATTTTAGTGGCAATTCATGGAAAGACAAAGATTTTTATGCTAACTGGAAGACAATACTTCCTGATTTTTTTTTATTTGATTTTTTAAGTCTGAGGAAGACAGGTACAAGCATAGAAAATGAAGATAAGGGTTGTTCCACAGTAGTGAAAGAAACGGAAAGAGACTTCTTTTGTGTTTGTCTAAGTATCCTACCAGTGCAGAGTTTTCCTGGTACAAGGACAATTCTTCCCAATAAGAGTGTTTACAGGTGTGTGAACCTACGGTTGAGCAAAGCGTCCTTGAACAGTGTTAACTGTTGAGATGCCCTGCAGAAAGAACTATGATGGATGGTTTGTGGAATGTTATATCACCTGGCTCTAGATTTTCTACCAGCAGCTTGTGATTCTGATGAGATAGTCTTGTGGAACTTCCCACTTGAAGGCTTCTTGTTGTCAGGACATCAAATCTGCAGAACGCGTCAGAGTCACAGAGCAAGACCATCTCTTTCACCAGGGGATCATCAGGGTCTTCATGAGGAAAGAACACGGGCAAAAAGGAAGCATTGTGCTTTTCCCCATAAAAGAAACTGTTCAGTAAGAACTGTGTGTCATAAGTAAAAAGAGAAGTTCCATTTTCAACAGCCCCTTGGGAGACAGAGAAAGAAAGTGAGAGATATTAATATGTAACATTGCCTACACACCTATATCACCTTATGCTACAAATCCAAGTGCTTATTTACGTAAATGCAGCTAGAGCTGGAAGAGATCTACAAAACCCTACAGCTTCCTTCTACTCAAGATTATTTTGCTTTTCATATGCAGCATCTTAACTTAGCACTGAAGTTGGTGTTTGGTTAACCTGGTGTTTGATCAATTACTTAAAATTAGATCCAAATAATTGTGGTTTTAGATGCCTGTTGGCAAAATGGTGATAAAGAAGCAGCTCAGACAGAGCTAGCTAAACCAAACATTAAAAGTAACACAAATCCTGATCCTGTATGTCCCTAAATTTATCATGTCTGCCGTGACCCTGCTTTTTGTTTTCACTCTGCTAAACAGGAAACTTCCTGAAGTAGGAGAAGTGAGACTTTTCAGTACACTCTGAATGCTGGAGTATGGCTACACTGTGCTTGATACCGAGATCAGTTGGTAGCCAGAGGGTATTTTCCATCAGGATGCTGGCCCATCTTCTAACCTGATGTCAGGAGGATGCTGCAGGCTAGATACAGCAGCCTAGTCATTTTCATTAAGTGAAACTAGCCATTCTTTTACACATATACACCCACCCCACCAGCACACTCACCCCCTTTTTAAAGGGGCAATTATTAAATTGTGATTTAATAAATGATTTTTTAAATTGTCAGCATGGTTCTTGATGGAAACATTGCTAATATTCTTGAAAAAAATAGCTGACCCTGGCTATTGCTATACTTCTATAACACTTCAGTCTGGTGATGCTGCATTCTGTTGATCACAGTAGATGGAATTCTGGAAGTGTAAGCTGTGAAATATGAGCTCTGACCCTTGATGGAACAAAGTGCAGGAGACTCGGTCGTGGTTTTGTCCTCAGTCATTCAGCTAGGTATGTTACCCACTTGGGTAGAGGAGCACATAGCTCTCCTAATCTCATCTCTTCCCCCAGTACAGGTTGCTTAGCACAGACTTCATTTGCTAGTCTGTACACAGACTAGCTGTGTACAGCTATCACAAGCTGTTCTGAATTTGTAAAGAAAATGTAATAGACCAGAGAAATGACTTACAGTTAGCTCCGAACTCAAACAACTGCTGGGGACTTGCGTGAACTGACATGGTGGTTTTATTCTTGAAAGTATACTCATCCTCTGTATTGCCATTCATTACTCCAAAGAGACCCTGTGTGTGATTCATAAACTTCTCTGGGAGCAGAACTGTCAGTGTCAGAAATCCTCCGCTTCCCCTTATTTCCACTCCAGCCCCAGAAGAGAACATGACTGTGATGTTCTGGTCAGCTGTAGAATGGAGGAAGAGACCTATAACAATGAGAGGAAGAGGACAAAATAACTAATCATCCATTGTGGACAGATTGTTGTGTCATTAGTTTTAACCATTTTTCAAAAAGCTTTTCCTCCCTTCCACTCAGGGCTACATTCTGAGAAGCATCTAAAGGGATGCCACACCTTCATACCTACAACTGCAGTAAGATGGCTACTACAGACTAGAAGCAAAAAAAGAACCCACAGATGATATAAGCTGCACTGCCTTCTGCTAGCGTTCACAGAATCACAGAATGTTTGGGGTTGGAAGGGACCTCTGTGGGTCATCTAGTCCAATCCCCCTGCCGAAGCAGGGTCACCTACAGCAGGCTGCACAGGACCTTGTCCAGGCGGGTCTTGAATATCTCCAGAGAGGGAGACTCCACAGCCTCCCTGGGCAGCCTGCTCCAACGCTCCGTCACCCTCAGAGGGAAGAAGTTCTTCCTCATGTTCAGACGGAACTTCCTATGCTTCAGTTTGTGCCCGTTACAGGGCAGAAGCTTTAATATATGAGATGATTACATCAGAGAGTGGCTGTGAGCTGGAAGCACTGGTCTCAGTGGTCACAGGCTTCCTCTGCTTCTTGATTGTCTTGTCAAGACCTCCCTAATATGGCTTCTTCTCCAAGCCCCATCACTGTCCTTTCCATTTTCTTTTCCTTCCTGCATCTCTCTGCTTCTGCAGCTCCTTGTTAATGTAGTCTTCCCTCTGCTCTTCATTATATTTTCCAGCCATTTGAGGAATACTAATTGCTAACCACAAAAAACTTCCTCTGCTGAATAAGGACGCTTACTGTTAAAATGCTAGTAATGTTTAAAGTATTTGTCAAATTCTTATAAAGACTAATCAAATGATCACGTGCCTGAAGGAAAAAAAATCAACTTTTCATAGTATTTTCAGCAGTAGAGGAATAATATCTGACCGATCAAGAAATCTCCTGATAGGTGAATGCAAAATTCAGTTCTATTTTAGTATATATTTTAGTTGTGTTTTACTGTATTTCATTTTGCTTGGCAGGTTTCATTGCATTAGATGCAGTAAGCTCAAAGCAGAACGTGGAGTAAGGAGTTTTTTATTCCATTCACCCTCCATGGGATGAGAAGGAAAACCACTCTACAAGTCAATGAAAGAGGACATGGAGGATGTAGGTGCTGAAGGCACCTGTTAAAACCCTTCACTGTCATTGCCAGGATTGCATTCTGTCCCTTCATACTCCTCTCGCATCCCAGAAAGTTCAGGCAAGCACCGGCTGTTGGTAAAGATTGTCATTTATGTTATTTGGACATCCTGGGAGGGGAGAACGTGCCACAGTCCAGTCTACTGACAAATCAGATGACTCTGCCTCTTCCTGGACACAGCATAGGTGCTTCCAGTTACCTATGTTATCCTATCCAGCTAGGATAACTGCCAGTAATGCTGATTAGAAGCAGGAAGGCTGCAGGTTCTGATTGTGCTCACCTGTACCATGATTCCCTGCTTATACCTCTCCATGGGAACACAGCCAACCATGGTCTGCTTTTCTGCAGCATGCTTGATCCGTGGCTATTGGGAAGAAGACGTGTAGCCCATGACTCTGGTAGCTCTACTCCTGCCCATATTGTAACTGTCATCAGTCCCAAGGGCCAGAGGAATCCTGCCCTGAGCTAGTATAAAGACAGGGCCAGATGGGCAAATTGGATGGAAAGGGCATTGTACCCTGTGATCTCAATATGATTTCTTTCACCAAGGCCCATGCCAGCTGTGCACTGCCGCTGATTCTGCCTCAGTCTGACAGCAACCGAACTGAAGAAAGTCATGTAATAATAAAATAAGTTCTAATGACCTGGGGCATTGCCTGTCCCTTGTTTCACTCCTTACATAGTTTTTGGAGTGACCTGCAGCCTGTTTCGCAGAAGGACACTGAAAAGAGAGTCGAAACACATGCATCTAGAGATATTTTAACTATATATGGGCTCCATTGGAATACAATAGCTTACAAGGCTGGTATTTGTGACTAACCTTTCAGGTCCATCCAATTTTGCTCAGAGAAGCTGATGACCTTCTACGCCCTCCAGATTCAAATCCTCCGAGTACCGTACCTCAATCACATCAGAGTTGTTCTCCTGCATAGCCACTGCAGACAAGCCTGTCACCTGAGCCTCAGTTCCTTCCAAATAAAAAAACAACCCCCCAAAATACCCAACATGATATAAAGTATATATGAAAGGTTAGAATGATACAAGCAAAAAAACCCTCAGATATTTCCTAAAAATGGTTAAATACGATTGTTTATATTTGAGGGAATTGCTAAGCATGTAAGTCACATAAAACCCCGTAGTAAAAGTCTCCTACCAGTATAGTATACGGAAAGAAAAATGTTTAATGCTAACGAAGTTTGGAAATTCTAAATTCTTCATCCCAATGGGAATGGCTGAGCTACGTAAGAAGACCAGCTGATCTCTTTCTTGCACATTCAGTCCTGTCAGTAAGGCCTGGGAAAACCAAAGATAATTTCAGGAAGGGCATGACAGAAAAAAAACACAGAGTGAACAAAAATTTAGGAAACTGATATTCAGAATTAACTGCTTAGTGACTCACAACAGTTCTACAACAAACACAGTAAAATCTATCAAGAGAAAAATATTTCCTTGATAATCTCCATCCTATCCAATGTGATATGCAGTATAATTCCCTGCCCAGGGAAGTGGTGGAGTCACCACCTCTGGTGGTGGAGGTGTGCAAAAAACGTGTGGACATGGCATTTCAGGACATGGTTTAGCAGGCATGGTGGTGATGGGTTGATGGTTGGAACTGATGATCTTAGAGGTCTTTTCCAACCTTAATGATTCTATGATTCTATGATTCTATAAGCATTTATTTCTACAGGGGTGCTGAAATCCACAGACAATTTTTAGTCCATCCTTGTAATTCTACCTGAAGTACCAAATCCTTGAAGTGCATCTCTGAGGCCAGCTGGAATATCCTTTCCTGAGGCAAGCATGCTATTTTATGCACCATAAAATAGCGCTAGATACAGGAAAAGCATAAACAAAAGTATCTGACATAAAGCTTTTCAGGTTGTAATGAGAAGCATGATCCCATTCTGCTGTTTCATAATTTTTTCACCTCAATTTAAAATGCATGTATATGAAAATCTCCTTCTTACAGGCTGGTTTGCAATCTACCCGTTCAGTTGATGAATGCCACAAATACCTCCACAAAGCTTGTTCTGCCCTGGGTTTCATTGTACAAACAAGCTAAAATACCAGGAAAATCAGGCCCTTTGATTAAAAAAATGACTGCCTTAACCAGCTTCTCACTAGATACTCTGTACTTTTTTGCTAGATTGAGGTGCTCAGAAAGATTTTTTTCCCCATCGAAACTGTGTTTTCTCAGCTCCTTTTGGGATGTTTTTACTCATGAACACATGCGTGTGTATACACCTAACACAGAAAGAAAATAAAGCATGACATACACTTCTCTGCTTTCTAGTAATTTTCAGCTACATTACTACCAAAGTTCATCATCTGCGAGTTACCAGCTGTTGACTGTTTCCTAGAACTGACCCTGTTTCCTCATAGATGGAAATAGGCGTGGAGAGAAATGACAATTGTTTTCCTGAGCTCTTAGACACAACAGAAAACCTTGCAATTCCGTTACTCATACCCAATAAAACTAGCAAATGATCTTTGATTAGGAATTGTTTTTTTTCTTGAACATTTTGTCTGCGTTTTGACTAGCTTCAAAACATTGACCTTTCTCAAATGGCCGAAAAAGGAGAAGACTAGAAAAAACAGGAGGAATGCTGCAAAGTGCAAATCAAGCAATCTCAGAAGCTATTATTTGTCATCACTACTTCCTCTCTTATCAACTTACCATTGGGAAAGTGCGCCTGCTGTGTCCTCCCTTGCACTCTTAGGGATGAGAGATCAGACTCTACCAACGTGTACTCTCCTTGGCCTTTGAAGGTGAAGTTCAGACCATCAAATGTGAGGAAGTGAGGATCCCCAAATGCAGCTGCTGTTTTTAAAAGCAAAAAGAGAAATGAGAACAAGCACAAATCACAGCTCATTACACAAGAAGAAAAATCTCAAAAAAATGATGCATGATAAATGTGACATGAGGAACAGCCATGACAACCTTGAACGGCACTGTGGGAACAGTGAGAAGTGTCATTCCAGTTACCGTCATCTTCATCGGCCAGTGTTTAGGGCTGCATTTGAAAAGGCTATTAAGGGCAGCAGTGCTTACCTGGTAGATCGCCTACCAGAATCCTCACTGTCAGGCTAGAAGCCTGATCTGCTTGCAATGTATGGGGAGATTTGGACACCAGCACAAGGCTATTCTAGAAGCAGCTCACCAGAAAGCTTCCAAATGTAGCTGGAAGTGACAGTCAGAGAAATGGGATGGGGCTTTGAAGTCTCATCTGTCCTGAACAGAGAGAGATGGCAGTGATACTCAGCCCCAACGCATCTCTGGACCTCAGCAGACATCCTTGGTTTTGCCTTTAGATCAGTAATAGGTCAGAAGGCCCCTCACTCCTTCAGCAAAAGAAGCTGAAGTTGTGTCATCTTATCTGAAGTATGACTCAACCACTGTGGACATCCATGTGACAAGTAGATTCTTAACTGCTTGATGGGTAGGTATTTTGGGACCATTGTCTCTCTCCATCTTTGCCTAGAGAAAGAGTCCCTCTGACAAATCAGGTTCATCAGACCAAGGGAAAGAAGACCTTTTTTTTTTTTTTTCTCCTCAGTCGTTAGTGCATTCACTTGAGATTTTCAGACAAAAATGCATGTAGCAAACGAACACTTACAACAGAAAATCACAGTAAAAAAGCCCTGCCCCTAAGTGATATGTTGAAGTAATTTCTCCACATAGGGCAAATGAGGTGTTTAAGCCCAGCACCTCATGTTCCAGGGAAGTTCTGGAAGTATCACAGTAGGTGACATTTTTTTGTTTGAGATGATTTTGCACTGCATTAATCTTTGGCATGCTCTGAGAAGCTTTTAGCATTAAGATCTTTGCAGATGGTTCTGTGGCATTTAGGAGTTAGTTTTCTCAGATGCTTAGGCTTACACAAGGTTAATGAACACTCTCCTGGCTGTGCAGTAGCACAGGCAGTTTGGCATATACTTTCTGGGAGAAAGACGAGCATCTGCGGTGCTTAGTGAGAGCTCCATGATGGATTTTTGTCCGGTTTGAGAGACGGATGTCATGGCATAAGTACATTTCAGAATCTTTTTGCAAGACCGTGTGTTTCGCATTCCTCATCAATATGTCTCTGCCTAAGAGAGGCATGTTGTAGCCTTTCTTTCCCATAGTGGAACTGTCAGGGCCTGAGCACACTCATAAGCCTTAAGTGCACAGACCAGTCCCACCGGGCCCTCTACCTATACCCTCTATCCATGGGCTTTATCTAACCTCAGGCCCAGGCCTTCAGTCCCTGCCTGAGCTATGTCACAGGTGTATCTGTCTCCATCTCCAACACATCCATGCCTGCGCCTGGCCGTGAACCCTGCTGATCTGCACACAAATCTGCAACTGACTTTCTGGCTTGTCCTTGGACATGCCTTGTCACTACAGACTTACCCGACAATCACTGGACTGTGTCTCACCCTGGTTACCGTCACCGGACCAGATCTTTGACCCTGTCTGGCAGACTGACTTCTCAGCTTTCCTTCGAACCTGCCTCGTCACCACAAACTCGCCTGGAGATCTGGACTTTCAGCTGACTGCTGCTGCCATCACCGTGTCTGCCCTGCTTGCCTCACTCAGGACTGGGCCGTGGCCTGACAAGGACCTTGCCCTTCCAGCCTTACTATCACAGTTGGCTCCCAGCTCCCTATTCCTTAGTTGCTTCCAGATGGGAAAATTTGATGGGAGAAATTAGGAAAGACTGTCACTCTCCACTATTGTTAGTCCTGGGAGAGTCTTCTGTTATGTCACATCATGTCCTAGCTACCTCCTTCAGTGCCCTCTGCAGTTTTTTCCTTTTTGCCTGAAGCAAACCACTGCCTCTTTGCACTTTCCTTCTTTACGGCAGGCCGCAATCCTGCTGGACACAGCACCCCTGTATCATAGAAGACAGCAAGATATGTGGCAGCAATAGAGATACGGCAAGATTTCAGGCCTACTTAAAAGCAAGGGGCAGGAACAACAGACATATTTGTAAATGGTAAAACTTCCATATTTAATACGAGTAGCATTTTTCAGCGTGACAGCTTTTCTAGCTACTGCCAAGTTGTCATTAACCATCCCTAAACCTCTTCTTTCTGAGAAAGTGCCCACTGATGATAGGAAGTCATGGACATGGACTACTAAATTTCAGCTATTTAGGTTTCAGGGGTTAATGAGATACTCAACAGCAGAAAATCTTGCAGGACAATTAAAAACTACAAACAGATTTTGCCACTGATAGATCAATAGAAACCGTCCATGAAAATCTGACGCAGAATATTGTACCCTCACCATTGTCAACTGACATACATTCCTATACAGATATTCTAAAAGCCAACACTGTATCAAAAAGCTACACTCCATAATTGAATACTGAAGCCCTTACCAGCTCGAGGAGGGCGATATGTCCTGCAGTCACTGGAGGGCCGCTTTTTCATATAGAAGTGACAATTATCAGACCACAGGCAGCAGTAATAGAAGCTGATGACATCGTAAAGCCAATGGGAAAAGCCAGGTATACGGGGAGGCTTCATGAAAGGCGGTGAACCCCAGTCATGGCCTCGATCAGGTGTGCTGCCTCCTGTGGAGTCATGCGTGAGGATTTGGGTCCCTGTGGAGTCATAGCAACACTGCTGTCCTGCCGCATACTGGGGACTGGTTGAGAAAAGCAGTGAGAAGAAAGTCATTGTTCAGCTCTCGGAAGTCCATTTGTATTTAGAGGTTACCTATTGTCTTTTTATGGATACAGTTAAATGTTTTTGTTGCCAAGCTTTATATGGTGTCCAGAGATGATACCTCCCAGTTAGACTTCCTGCCACTCCCCCCACTCTTATAAATTAGACCAGATGAGGGATAGGGATGGAGGTGTTTTTAACCAACATAGTAAGTAATTCTGTAGGCCTTACAGCTACCTGAACGTAGCACTCTATAAATTTTTCTGATAGAAAGAGTGCAAAGAATAACTTGTTGAACTGAAGTAGACCAACACAGGAAAGGCCTAATTAGGCCTAATCATGTCTGGTTTAGACATCAGTGCTTGTTTAGGTATCCTAAGGTTTATCACAGTGCAATTAATTGTTTATTAAACCTAAGGCCTTATCTTCATCTCAGCAATGAGAGCCAATAGGTGAATATGAGGGAAACTTGCTATGAACCTATGAGTTGAGAGTCCAGAAGCATCTGTGACTTCCGTGATGCGACCTATCTCTGAGGTGCAGCAAGTCATTAAAAAAATGTGGTTTTAAAAAATTAAAAGATTTACCTGGCTTGAACAGCTCTTACACAATGGACAGCACCAGGGTGATAAGTACACACACTCCCCTTTTCAATGTCACAGCCATAATCTGTCTGAAAAAGATCAATGCTCATGCTTAATGTTCTTTCCCCATTGTCCCTTCTATTTTTAGGTCCTCTCCCCACCATTTTTCTCTGACGTACGTGTAAAATCTAACTGAACTGGTTGCAGCTGTGTGTTGAGTAGCACAGAACGGTAGGAAAAAAGGTGACTTTAATAGTGAAGTGGTTGGAGCAACATGTTAGTCCAGCCTGAGCATTTTGCAGTCTATTACAGCAGACCTTGAAGAACAAATGCAGCTAGATGGGGAATTCAACTATAAGTGCATAACACACATCATACCAGACTAAACGTAACTTTTGTCCTATGTTCTTAGATAGAGGCAGCGCAGTAGATCTGATTTTTATTCTCCACATGCTTTTAACTGTATCATTTAAAACACAAATCATGTTTGAAGCTTCACAACCAGGAAAGGATAGTAACAAAATTACATAACTTTTTAAAAAAAAATATGCGTAAACACACTGGTACCATTTGTATCATAAATAGTAGAGGAAGTTACCCTATATGGTCCTCAGATCAGCACTGTAAGAGAAAGTGTAAACTAAATGGCAATTGATTTCTTAGCTTTTGTCAGTTCCTTTTTAACAGTGAAGCTGAGAAGGAGAAAGGAAGCAGGAGACAGGAAATAATGGATTATGGCTGTGGACTTGAGGTCTGAAGTACAAGGCAGAAGGGTTTGCGGCAAATCATGATATACTCGGCAGAAATGTAGCCTGCTTTTTCCGGCATGGGATGTTGCCTACAAAGACAGACTGCCCACTTGTAAGATCTTGAAGATGTCATCCCTACTTCCAGCTCCACAGAGCTTACTGCCTTCCCTGAGTGTTTTCTGTCTACCACTGCAACTACTGTCTTAATTCCCTGGTTGAAGGTGATTTCCATCTGCTGTCCCATAGGCACTTTTTTTATTCCTACTACCTGCATAAGCTGTATCTGCCTCTGCCATTGGACATGCTACTTGTGCAAATTTAAATATAATTTCATTTCCTTGTAATGACTTTTAGAGTGGCAACAGGGTGTGTGGGGAGTATGGCATTCCTTAAGTTTCTACTTGGAACCATAGTAAGCCAGAGGGATCAATTAATAACTTACATGGAACCTGCCAGTGTCCGCTCTTGCCTGTGCCAAGGTGCAAGGGCAATCTGTAATTTCTTCCATGAAGTTTGGTAACTTCTCCTCCTTTCTGGCCCATTCTGTACATTTTGCAGTTGCCCATGCATTTGGATCGTTTCTGAAGTCTTTCCCAAGGTGCCAAGCCAATGCATGCACTGAGCTCCAGACCGATGGAATGTTGCTGGAAAAAAAAAAGAGCCAAAAATATGTATCTGATAGCTGAACAAGCACTGTTTTGACAGTAACACCGTGTCTTAATCACTAATTGTAGTAACAAAGAATCTTTCAACTTGCAAGTTGTTATTTCATTACAAAGGTCTCTGCTTTCTTTTTCCTGCAAAAAGTTACAGCAAATCAAAATTTTCCTAATTTAGAAGGCAACATGACAGCATGCAGCAAGTATGCAATAATAGAATACACTTTAGCATTTGTGATTCTGGCTTACATGGGTGTTTTTAGAGACAGGTTTTCTATTCATGCCTTTTCAGATCATGGTTCCATTTAGGCCAGAATGAAGAACGTTTGGATTCTCTAACAAAACCTGATCCTGTGCCCCAGCAGTATCAGGCCTGATGGCAATGGATGGGGAGAAATCATTCTGAATCCTTGAAGTGTTCCAAGGCTACTCTGCTCTACACCCATAAAAAAATATCATACATGAAGTGTAATAAAACAATGCTCTAGAAAGAGAAAAGGTTACCCTTCTGTGGTAGTCACCTGTAGTGACTCCTAAATACTAAAAAAGGTTCTGATGTATTAGTAATATGTTGTAACACTGAAGAGGTGGCATTTATATATTCACAGGTGCTACACCATCTGCATCAAAAACTGCAGACATGTGGAATAGGTATAAAGGAATATCTATCCAAGCTCAGAATATATATGGATTACTTGCAGAGGTAAATCACCAAAAATCATGGAGAAATATACAATTAAATAAGAGGAAGTGGGCATAACATTTGTAGGAATGCAAAGGCCTGCATACAAAATAGAAAAAAACTATATGCAGAGGAAGGCCTGTGGCTGCAGTGACAAAAGTTCCACAATTAGGGCCTCCTCCACAGTTGCGACAAAGTAAATCGGCAGGTCCTAGTTTGCTGAGGGTACTGGATTTGGCTGGGGTGGAATAATTTTCTTCATAGCAGCCCTTATGGTGCTATGTTTTAGATTTGTGACCAAAAGAGTGCTGATGATAACTCACCGACCTGCACTATTGCGGAACAGTGCTTGTACAGTGTCAAGGCCTTCTCTGCTTCTTACACTGACTGCCAGGGAGTAGGACAGGGGTTAGCAAGAGGCTAGGAGGGAACACAACTGTGACAGCTGACCCAAATTGACCAAATGTATATTCCATGCCGTAGACCATTGAGCTCAGCAATAACACTGTGGGGGAGTTTTTCCAAAGCAGCCCTCACTGGGTGACCGACTGGGCATTGGTCTGCTTATGGGAGGTGGTGAAAGATTGACTTTGCATTACTTCCTCTGCACTCGTGCTCCTCTTTACTTCGTAAACTGTCCTTTTCTCGACCCGTGAGTTTTTCTCACTTTTGCCCTTCTAATTCTCTCCCCATTTTTTCATGTGAAATGGAGCTTGAGTCCCAGTTTTAAATGCCAAAGGAGACAGCAGCTTTAATACATGAAAAAATAATAAAATATTTATGGTAAATAAATGTTGTGATGTACTTGCCTCTGCCCATCAGAATAGCTGCTCGGTGTAATTCTTAAAACTCCGAAGTCCCACATACTGTAATTTCTTGCAGCAGGTACAGGAATGAAAGAAAATGTCCCAGTATTGGGGATTTCTTTTGCCAAAGTATAAAGATACTTCCATTCGGCCCACCAGTTTTCCGTGTAACTGTCACCTGTCACATAGAGGAAGAAAATCATTTTGGATGCTGGAAAAGAACTGTTACCACAAGACTGAAATTAGATGTCTTCACCCAGATGTAAAGGAAGAGGGAAAGCTGCATATTGTTATGATTTAGTTATACTTGCAGACCTCTTCTTGAGACCTCAATAAAAGCGATCGCATGCTGTGCGGAGCTCTACACATAAGTAACATAATGGATAACTGCTTGTGTGCAGTAGGAAAATTGTCACTTTACCTGTTTCCTGGTATACCCAGACTTCTATGTTGATATGGCTTGCTGCAAGTGCCTGGTGTATCCAGGTGAGAGTTAAGTTTCCATCAGTGTTGGGGGTGCCATAGTATTGCCATTTTGTCTCATTTACCAACGTGCATTTTTCTCTATCTGAAACTTTGCTGTGATGTACTGCATTACAGAACAGAAAAAAATGATTGATGACAGTTATGCTTTGCATAGGTCTGAAAAGGTGCCAGTATATCATTTAATATTTAGCAGTATTTCCCCCGTGTATGTTTTCTTACAGGATGCATGATATAAAAAGACTAAGCTGAAGCGGAGAGAATGCAACCCTTACTAATGTCTGTAGTCCTTAGATTACAACACCATGATGCAGTTATTTTCCAATAGAAGTAGCTACAAAAAGGGAACTTGTTTTGGTCAACCTCATTTCTAAGCAGGACTTTTTATGAGTTAATGCTGCTGCTGCTGTATAGCAACAGAACTCAATTGCTGTGAAAGTTCGTCTCTCAAAATATGAATTAACTCAAGGGCAGCAAGACTTTTCTGAGGTCAAACAGCCTGTTAAGGAAGAAGAAAAGTGATCAAAATGGAAAGGCTTATATAATCTTGCATCCTTGGAGTAAGAACGTAGAAAGAAGGAGGATACTGTAGATTTAAGTAAGCAACCTGATAACCAAGTGCCAGAGTACGGGAACGTCAGCCCGTCATCTGTAGAAACTTCGAAGGGAATGAAACCAGTCTCAAACAGCAACGGGGAGATGCAGTGAGCTTTTCCGTCCTTAGCAACATAGCCACTGGTTTTGATTTTCTGCTTGAACCTGTTGATGTTGAAAACACTTTTCAGCGCCACCACTGAGAGAAGGAAGATTCTGAATGTCTCAGTTGTGTTTCATTAGGCAACCTTGTTTCGTGGGTAGATCATTCCAAGTCCTGTGGCTGTTTTGCTTGTAGCAGTGAATGTAAACTGGCAAAATTAATGTGTACATTGTGCTTATTACACCATTGTGGATTCTGCTGCACATTGCACAAATACACAACAATCTGCAAGCCTTAGATTTAGTATTTAATTACTAGGGGAGGGGGGCATGATAAATTAGCAACAAATAACAAAGGGACAGCAGGAAGACATAGGTGATGTTATAGGTTTAATAGGATTACAGGGTGGCTAACATTGACCATGATATGCAGGCATTGCCAATTTCTGGTTTTGTGGGGTTTTTTTTGCTTGTAAGTCTTGTGGATAGAACAAAAGTAATTTCACGCTGTTCTAGAGTTTCTCTTGCAAAGATTAACTCAGAACTCCTTGCTCATTATGTAACCATCTGCTTCTAGTTAGGGCTTTTGCCCAGTGTGCTAAAGTACAATCCCATCCGTGACTCTTCAGGATCGATGTATGGTGACTGCATAGCTACTCCGAGTACTGTAGGGAGTTGAGGCCTGTGACAAAGTAGTACCTTTGCTTGTCTGCACTGAAGTTTGTATTGGCTGTGATAATGCAACTGTGTAGGTAATTCAAAGCACACAGTTGTATTCTACAGAATGAATGCCTGGGTCAAAGGTTTTCCCCATGAAGGACTAAAAACCTTGTCAGGTGTTGCTATCCAGACGGGAAGGACTCCAAAATCTCACTCAGAACCTTCTGTGGGAAGAATTTCAGGGCATCAGGGACAGTAAAATTCAGTGTACCGTATGCATTGCATGTGTGACACATGTACTTAATGTGACACAGGCTGACACGCTTAGGATCCACAGCTTTGTCTTACTGGAAAAATATAAGGTGTCCTACCTACATTTCTTCCTTGTTGCTTTCTCATTGCAGATTAAGAAATGAGTACTTCTTTTTCACAGAATGGAAATGCTGAAAAAGTAATAACAACGAAGAGCCCCCAAAAGAAGCTCTTTTAGAAAATCAATTTTTTGATACGTTAAGGGAAGAACTAGCGGTATAATTATTGTATCACACAATAGCTTGACTTAAATGAAATGATCCTGTGTAGAAATACAGACAACATGTGTCCTTGAGGATGAGGGTTAGCAGAATCTTTGCAGGTTTCGGGATTCTGACAGCTTCACAAAGTACGTTTTCACTCCTGTATGGACAAGTCTTGTTGTGGTAATTACCTGTTATCGCAAAGTGAGTTTAGAAAGGTTCACCTCCCTTTGGCAGAGGAATATAAAATCATGGCTTACCTGCAGGTCAGCACAGAAGAGGCATTAAGAACTATATTTTCAATCAAAAAGTCTTTGCCTCCCATCAGAGATCCTGAGTATGGAGAAATTTGAAGACAAAATTCTTTATAATCGGGACAGCAAATCCCTAAGGACTGGCACGTCACCTGGCAAGAACAGGTACCAAGCAGCTCCCCGCATCGGTGTGAGCAAGAGTCTTGAGCTCCTTGTTAGAGCAAGAAAAAAATGTAGTCAGGAATGTTATTGAACTCTTCTAGATATTACTCTGTAACAGAAGTACATCATCTAAAGGACTGCTGTAGATAAATGAATTAGGCTGATTATGTTAGTTTAGGAATGTATTTAGGTGAAGGCTGCAATCACCTGCATATGAAGGTTGCTCCATTTTGAATAGAAAAATACACTTATTTACGCTCCAGCCAGTACATAATTTCACCAACTCCATGGGTATTTTTACCTCTAATAGAAAGATAAATCTCCAGAGCAGCCCCTCGGTGAGTGTCACTAATTTTATTTATTTCTGAGAGTAGATCTTAAGTAACCCGTAATGGGGTCTCGTCACTGTCAACCCTACAGGGGAATCAATGAGAATGGAAGGCTAGCGCTCTTGGATGAATGGAAAGCTAACATTAGTGAAAAAGTGTGCTCCACTATGGGATTATGAAAAGCTACTGAGATTTCTTTATTTTGTGCATTTTATATGTGTCTAACCTTAACAAGGTAGCTGTTAAGACAACTAGGTACACAGACAGATGACTAGGCCCTTGGCTTAGGTCTGGCTGAGGTCTAGCTGAACAGGCCACGAGCAATTACTGGACATGACATGAAAAATAGCTCAACGCAAATAAAACAGTGAGAAGTTGACAGATGTTACAGTAACACTGAGGAACAGCTGGATTTCACAAACAGTTAAGGGGGAATTAAGTGGGATGGACAAGCTGCACAGACAGCTGGGAGCACTGAGGACCTTTCGGGCAGTGGAATCTTGCAAGGGCAGCACCGCTTGGGTAACTATATTAATAATGTCATGCAACGCTGAGATGACCTAGGTAAGTATCAGAAATTCTAAAATTAGACAGGGATGTACCAAAATTGGGATTGATGATGAAAAAGTAATTAGGGGAGTGTTGCTTGTTTGGGAGGACACAAGCAAAAAGAAAGGGAGGGATCAAGGTGGATGCTGAAAAATAAGCATGGGAAAATGAAGAGAAAGGAATGTAAAAGGAGCCAGTCACACATAAACAAGCCGCTCGTCAGCACCTTTCTCTGACTGAGCCCTGTACCTGATCACCTTATCCATTTTATTAAATCCTGTTGCTATTTTCTGTATCACCTCACTCTCTCATACGTGCATGTGTACGCACTTGTAATCATAAGTGAACTTCAGAATGAACTCTCCAGTCAGCAGAAGGAGACCCACACTGAGCTATTGACCTTGTAAGAGACTGGGGATCTGGGCTTAGCTAATCGGCAAATTTAAAGCCTATGCTAGCATCCAAGATATCTGCAAATGTGGTAGATCTGTGACTCTGGAGAGCTAGGGTGTGTTTGTGGTTTTGCTAGTGACCTTCTGTTGTGATCAGCTGGAAAGAAGGAACAGAACCGGGTGGTGTGCAGATTTATGGGAGCACTGTCTGTGCTGATTTGGATGACAGTAAAAGCCCTGCTCTGTGTTAGCCTGTGTGGCTGGCTGTGTTAATGTGGTGGGTATAGGATGCGTATCTGCCTCTTTGCAATAGAGGCTCAGCCTCCATACTGGCCGGGCCTACAAATAGGAACAGCAGTATCCACATCTGTGGGACTGAGACAGGAGGAATTTCCTGTATCTGAGAGTACAGCAGATCTGAATCTAGCAGATGGGGAAAGAGAAATCTACTGCGTCCCAAAAGATGATGGATTCACCTACTCCTCAAAGGTTGTTAAAAATGTATGAACAAGACTAGGCGAGGAAGAAAGAATTTATGGTCACCCCTCATGGGGCTGAAGAGCAATTGCTTGCAGTTCCAAGCATGTCAGCTTCTGTCAAAATGAGGAGAAAATGTCGCTGAGTGTTGTTTTGTGCATAGGGTGGGTGGACAGGGAGGGCTGTTTGGTTTTTTTTGGTAGGATGGTGAGATCAAGAAAAGGAAAAGGGAGCAAAATCTCTATTTTTTCTATCTCTGCTGGCCTTGCTCCTTTATCCTGGGGTAATATGTGGGTGTGTGGCAGGAAAGAACAGGAACAGCAGCGAGTCAGAAACAAAAGTCAGCCTTCATTCTATACCAGAAAACCTGCTTGTGATGGAGGTAGAAATGCTTGTTCAATATGGGGAGCAGGAAAGTTGTTCTGTGTCTTTAAAAATATTTTCTGCATTCTCCAGATTGTCTGTTTACTTACAGAAAAGATCCACTGTCCTACTGGAAATCACAGAGGAAGGGTTTGAAAATGACACTGTGCCAGTAAAAGTTAGCTTCTGTGCCTTTGTTTTAACTTGTACAAAGGGCATCAGCAATTTCTTACCAAGGTGTGTACTCTGAAGTTCAGAAGTCAAAAAAGTTTGTAGTTAAAAGCAGAAAAACTTTTGAAAGTCACTCACCTGCATTCCAAAGAGCAGTGAGGGTGAAGATAATGAAGAAAGAAACACCTCTGCCAATGATTTTCATATTTTGTCCAGACGATTCAGGATGATTGTGGTATCCTTTGTGCCTGTCTGGGAAAAGCCTTTTATAGAAACACGTGTCCAGAAATAAACAAGGTTCTCACTGGTCAAAGGTTTCTTGTAAATTACTGAAGCAAAACAAATCGAAAGAGATGCTCCTTTTCAGAGGTCATCTCCGATTCAGGAAAAGACAGAGGGGGTGGGGGAGGTAGTCAGTAGAACTCCTACACATTATTTTAATGGTCGTATTTTTCTGAAATGAAGGAGATGTGTGTTGTTTTTACAAGCGTTTCTGCTCCAAAGTCCAAGACCACGTGGTCATCAGCACAAGATGTATGCTGTAATTTTATTGGAGGAACTAAAACCAGTTATCAGTATGAAGAACAATAAAGACTAGAAGCTGACAGTACAGTTTTGTTCAGGTGATAAGAAGACACTAAGAAAGCATGTCTACTGCACAGTATGTGCCGGCATGAGGGCTGTGAACAAGAGAAGTAAAAAGAGATTCTGAGGAAGGTACAATTGAAAATGGTGGCATGATGTTAGAGCAATGAAATGGTCTACAGAAGCCTTTCAGCAGAAGCCCAAAGGTATTCTGGCAAGGAAGTAGGGCAGAGCTGATAAGGTAACAGCTACAGTGTAACTCTCTGTTTCAATAGCAGAACAGGAACTTGAGGATGGAGGGTTTTTAGGGGATAGTGAAAGAGTGCAAGGCATACTCCTCTGATCTGCTGTGTAAAATATCAGTGCATAAGATAAGAACCTCCTTGCACATGATTATAGCTGGGTAGAAGACTCAAGGACAGAGTAGAGTCCAGAATAACGACAGCAGAGTTTCGAGAAGCAAGGCTATTCAGACCTAGATAACTGTATCAGTAGTATCATGTAAGGTTGCATTTGCCTATAATTTTGGTATAGATGTGGCGAAACTGGACCAGCGGTCAAAAAATAATTAGAGGCATATTGTTTACTTGAAAGGCATTCAGGTGAAGAAAAGCGTGTGCAATGGCACCAGTAGGCCCAACTTCAGAAAAAATGGAGTATAAGGTATAGGATCACAGAACGATTCAGGCCAGAAGGGATTTCAGGATATCGTTCTTGTCTAACCTCCCACTCAAAGCAGGTTTAGCTGTGAGGTCAAACTATGTATCTCAGGGTGTTATCCAGTCTGGGCTTGAAAGCCTCCAAGGATGAAGATGAAGACTGCACGGCTTCTCTGGTTCATCTGTTCCAATACTCGGGTCTCCTTACCATGAAATTGTTTCTTCTTACAGAAAATCTGAACCTCTTTTGTTCTACTTTACACCCATTACTCCTCCCACTGTTCACCACTGTGTTCGATTCTGTCTTCTCAGTAATCACCATGTGATACTAAAAGTCTGCTATTAGCTTCCTCCCCCTCCCACCCACCACCTTTTCTCCAGGCTGGCAAGGGCCTGTTCCCGTTCCCTCAGCTTCTCCACGCACTGCGAATGTTCCAGCCCTCTCAGCATCTTGATGGCTCTCTCTGGAAATGGCTCTAGTTGGTCAAGGTCTTCTATTTGCAGAGGCCCAGAACTGGCCTTAGTAGCATAGAGGTGGCCTAATGGGTCCCGTGTAAAGATGATCATCACTTCCCTCAACTTCTGACTGTGCTTCTCATAATACAGCTGAGGATGCTGTTGGCTCTTTTTGCTGCCAGGGCACAGTGATGGCTCATGTTCATCCTGCTGTCTGCCAGGACCTTATGGTCCTTTTCTGCAGAGCTGCTCCCGAGTCTGTCAGTTCCAAGTCTGTACTGTTGTGAAGTTTCTTTCCTTCCTGGGTGCATTTGTCCTTGCTAAATTTCTTAAGGTTCCAGCTGGCCCCTTTCCTGCAGCCTATCTAGGTCTAGTAGAACAACAGAGGACACCTGTATGACGGTAGGAATGCAAAATGCCTACAGATGATAGATCAGTGAATCCCAAGTCCACTGGGACAGCGGAGCAAGACCCCTGCAACAACTCACAGGCAACTTCTGTGATTTGCTAGATATAAGGCCAATAATTAACAGCTTTATTGTTGCATGGAAGAATTTGCATAATAATATAATTATGAATTAATATAAGTGTGATTTATCTAGTTAATTATTATTTTCTTTTTTGCTTTCCCAAATTCCTCATAATGTGCTCACTAATCAGCAAATATCATAACCAGTTTATATCAATTACTTTCTAAGTCTCCCATCTAAAATTGTGAGCATCAAACCTCAGAAGTAACAGTGCTCCAGGGTCCTTCATTTGTCCTCTTTTCATTCCTTTTGCCCCAAAATGCATAAATAGCTTTTTGGTGCCCCAGAGCCCTCCATTTGTTCTCTGGTTCCCTTGTGACGACTCTTTCCTTTTTGGGCAGCCCAAAGATCGCCAGTTAATTTTCAGCAAGCTGCTCTCAAGCACTTGAATGTACCTCTGCTTCCCTTGCAGGTCCTAATTACCTCACCGTCTGACAGCCATGCCCACCCTGCCCCACTCCCCCCACACATCGGCTACAGCTGTGGGTGATGAGGCTGATGACGGCTGGGTGTAGCCATCTTTGTTTGCATTTTTGTTACAGTTTGGCTATGGCTGGCAACAATAGGGCTGCTCTGCCGCCCCTCCCCCCACCGGGGGGGGGGG